ACTGGTTCAATTTAGTCTCCAAATTTGGCACAGAAACTCTTCAAAGGATCATTGAATTTTCTGTTTGCACAGGAAACATTCAGACATGCTCCCTATTGGAAATTCTGCCAAACCCATGGAGGTAGGGAGCCCACCTACCCATAGAAATCAGAGAATTGACTGGGCTGGGGACAAATGGGCAGGAGTCCAGGGAGTCAGCTAAGATTTCTGCTACTCAGGCCCACTACCCATCCGCCTACATGGATTCCCCATCCCTGCCACAAAACCCAGCCAATTTCTGACCTTCTCTTCAGCTGCCCTCCATCCCTGCCCTAACTCCATTAGACCTTTTTTTTTTTTTGCATTGGTTACATCTGTTCACACTTCAGCTTTAATTATTCCTCTCACCCTGTCTCCATTAGTAATAAGGACTGGGAAATGGTGTGGACGGGACAGCTACCGGTGCCTCGATTGAAGATCGACCAACTTGTCTTCAGAGACTGTATCTCTGTAGCAAACTTCTGTGGTTCTCCAGATGGGGTCCCACCCTGACTGACTGACCGGAATCAGACTGGAACGCCTGTTGAGGAGCAGGCTAGGACTTCCCAGGGATGCGGGAGGTGGGGTGAAAAGGAAAGAAAGCCTATTGGTATTTACAGTTGAGTAGGAGAACTGATCAGCAGAGGGGTGGATGGAGTGTTGAATGATGTAACTCAGGGGTAGGCAACCTATGGCACGCGTGCCGAAGGCGGCACTCAAGCTGATTTTCAGTGGCACTCACACTGCCCGGGTCCTGGCCAGCAGTCTGGGGGGGCTCTGCATTTTAATTTAATTTTAAATGAAGCTTCTTAAACATTTTAAAAACCTTATCTACTTTACATACAACAATAGTTTAGTTATATATTATAGACTTATAGAAAGAGACATTCTAAAAACGTTAAAATGTATGACTGGCACATGAAACCTTAAATTAGAGTGAATAAATGAAGACTCGGCACACCACTTCTGAAAGGTTGCCGACCCCTGATGTAACTGCTTATTTCCCTGTGTTTTAGTGATGGGATATTGCAGTCTAGTCATCTTAACTCAAAGCTAACAAAGTTTATCATGGACGAGTCTATGTATATGATAAACTGTAATAACGGTTACGAATTTAACCTACTTCTTTCTTTTTGTTAGTGACAATCCAGACAGATGCTACCTTAGCTGCATATTTCTCTTATTTAACACTGTCTCTTTGCTAAGCCTCATTCTAGCTATTCTTTATATTGTCCAAGATATTGTTGGTAGTCTCCGAAGAGTATTTGATGGTGCAAATTACAAAAATTAGATATGTGATTGTCTATCCCTAGTATTTTCTCTTTTGTTCCTACTCTTTCTCAATACAATTTTGAAATATTTTTTAATGTAAATGCTGAGTAATTTACTCAAGACTTGATTCAGTAGTATGCTTAAGTACATGCTTCACTTTTCAAGTATGTGAATAGTCCCTTTTGAAGTCAGTGGGACTTTTTACATATGCTTAAATGCTCTGCTAAATAGGGAACTTGATGCTGAGGAGTGAGTCTTTCTCCTGTAATGAATTAGCATTTACAGAAGGTGATAGCTTCCCAACCCCACCAATACCAAGGAATGAATGAAAAGTGTGGGCGATGAGACCGAAAAGGGTGTGTGCTTCTAGTGCTATATAAATCACTGCCCAGATTATATTGTCAGGTACTAGACCTGGCTCACTTTCATCAAATGACCTTGTGTTATGGCATCATCGCACATTTTACTAAATGGAATCCCTGCTAGCCAGCCAAATTACTGAATGGCAGACGTTCATTTACTCTTTAGAAATGAAAAAATCAATATGTTTATCCATGCAGAAATCCCCTTATTCATCAAATATAGTCTACCTAAAAAATAAATTATTAAGGATAAAGCCAAATTTTGATTGAGTGAAACAATAATTCATCTGCTTTCCAAGGCATTCAGAATGAAGTTCTCCTGTAATGGTACAGGGAGCAGCTGTCGTTCTCTTGCTCCAGTAACCAAGAGGCAGAATTAAATTTCTGTCAGTCATTTGGTAGTATAGGAATAGGTCATTTTAGTAAAATGTTATTATAGGATCAGTGTCTGGCAACTTAGAGGGTGGAGACGTAAGGCTATTCTAGCAGCCAGAGACAGTCACTTGATGATAACATTCTAGTTCACTGGTTGATCTCCTTTGTGTTATTACTTACCATGGAAATAGGGAACATAGCCAAACTAGATCAGACCAGATCAGATCAGTGGTCCATCTAGTCCATTCTCCTGCCTGATAGTGACCAAGACCAGATGTTTCAGAGCGGAAAAACATTTCCTTGTATCAGTTTTCATTTTGTTGCCTTTCAGTTTCATTAAATGCCCCATTGTTCTTTTATTACACAAAACGCCAAATAATTTGTGTTGGGTAAATTTTCAATAGCATCTATTTGAACTAGGAGCCTAAACCCCCTTTTCAAAAGTCACCTCTGGCCAGATTTTTAAAAGTATTTAGGCCCGTAGCAATGCATATAGGCACCTTGGTGCTTTTGAAAATTCCACTGCATGGTTATGTGCCTAAATACCTTTACAAATCTGGCCCTAAGTGGCTTTGAAAATTGTCCCCTTTTTCTGTACCAGTCATAATTTTATATACCTCCAACATGTCCCTTCATATTCCCTAAACGAAATAGTGTCTTTTCAGCCTCCATCTGTATAGAATTCTCCCCATATTTCTAATTATTTTCATCTCCTTTCTCTGAATTGTTGGATTAAGGTTCACTTACTCAGCAGATGGGTCTAACCAATATTTGTTAAGGCAAAACACTCAGTGAGTAGTGATCAGTTACTTATAGGTGGGAAGCTGATGAGGACGATCTCATCACAGTCGCCTTCAGCACCTGACAATACAGCTTCAACCTCCCTTTGTTACACAAACTTATTTATAACTTTTTGATATCTTTTCTTATCCATACTTATTAGTCTCTCATTTCCATGTTAACTCTCCTCTCCCATCATTACAGGGTTAGTGTTAGTCCAAACTGGTCTTTTCTAGCTTTTTAGTTACGTTAGCTTTTCTTGTTCTCACAAACATGATTACTCTGCAATTTCTTACAGATCGGGTGACCTGTAAGAAAACGGTCACAGTACAGTAGGTGATGGCATACCATTCATTAATATAATGGCATTAGAACATTTTCTGTATGATTTTCTATCTCATTCTTTATGTATCCTAACTTTTTGTTTCCTTTTTTGACCACAGCTGCACTCTTTGAGTAGAGGTTTTCATTGAGCTCTTCACAATGACATACAGGTCTTTTCCAATAACTAATTTAAGATCCATCAGTGTCATTTATGCTTGGGGATTAGCCCTGCATATACAGTACAGCAGCTCCAGCACTGGGGGAGTGTAGAGGTGAGCGTTATGCTACCTTGCACACCCCAACTTGCTCTGTGTGCTCCTCAGCTGTAGCTGAGGATGTGGCCCTTAATGTTTTTGATTAACACTGAATTTGTAGGGCCTTACCTGTTGGTCTAGTGGTGGCATGTTGTGCCATGTGGGAGGTCAGAGTTCAGGGCCTGAGCTTTTAGTTCACTGCTCCTTGCACCAGCAGAGGCCAGAAGTACAGACGAAGCAGCACCCTCAATCCCAGGGAGGAAGGGAGCAACTCGTGTTTCTCTTTGGCAGCATCCTCTAGCTCAGTGGTTCTCAAACTTTTTTTTTCGCAGACCACTTGAAAATTGCTGAGGATCTCGGCGGACCACTTAATGATTTTTCCAAATGTTGTTTGTACTGTTAGCGCTTTCAGCCAAAGATGTATAGTTAGCTCTGTTTACAAAAACTTAATAATAATTAACATTTTTTGGTTCTACAAATAAAAGCACACAACTCATATTTTAATATCAGTAGTCTTACTTTTCTAATGCGATGGATGTGCCCTCTCTCCCCCGACATGGCAGCCCCTGAGCTGGGGTTGGGAAGGAAGGGGGTTTCTCCCCCACTGCAGCAGCTCCCGAGCTGAGGTTGGGAAGGAGGGAGGTGTCTCCCCAACCACAGCAGTCACATAGCTGAGGCTGGGAAGGAGGGCTGTCTCTCCCTGGCAGCCACAGCCCTGGAGCTGGGGAAAGTCACCTCTTTCTCTGGCCGCCGCAGCCCTGCACGTCCCAAATTCCCCCCACCCCATCTTCTCACCCCACTGCCCCCTCCCACCTACCCCTATTCCCCCCAAGGCCACCACCTCACCTTACATGTGCGTTTTCTCCAGGATCCAGGCACCTAATTAGTGGAGCCATGTTTGCGCGGCTCCACTAATTAGGTGGGTGGCCCTTCCTTGTCTCATGTGCGGCCACCCAGGCGTGCACCTTAGAGAGAACTATCCGCGGACCACCTGAATGGAGTTTGCGGACCACAGTTTGAGAACCTCTGCTCTAGCTGATGCCTGTAGTAGTATTTACTGTCTGACTCAGACAGAAGTTGTGTCCAGCCCTCTGGTGATGTTGAGAAGACCCACAAGGGACGGTAGAGAGGAATGGGTAGACTCTGGTGGATCCTTCCACCAACCATCTGGAAATATATTGAATTTGTAGAAGCTTTATTAGGTTGCCTGCAGTGTTGTTGTAGCCATGTTGGTCCCAGGATGGTAGAGAGACCAAGTGGGTGAGGTAATTTCTTTTATTGGACCAAATTCTTCTGGTAAAAGTTATCTTACCCACCTTGTCTCCTAATTAGGTTTTTGTCATTCAGACTTGATCCATAGTGTTCTTTAATTAGGGGGGGTTGTTTAGTTTTTGGGAGCTGCTGAACCTGTAAACAATTGCACATTAATCCTTCCATGCCAGAAGCCAGCACTTGCTTGATGCTCAGGGTTGTTATACAGTGCACCATGTTTCCGGCAGGAGAGCGCTAAGCTTGCTGGTTCCAAATGGTTAGTGTTGTCTGTTAATTTCAGGTGGGTTATTTTTTACACCTAATAATCTCATTTTCTTTTCTTTTGTTCCTTCTTCCTCTCCAGGCCCTTAAACTGACACGAGACCTAAAGAGAGAACCCTTTGCCAAATCTGCTGTCAGCAAGTGGACAGTGATACCGTTTACAGCTTATGTTCTTTGTGAACCCTGCATTATTTTCCTAACGAAGCAGAGACTGTTAATGGGCCCCTTACCCAAGCGAAGAGCCTCCTTTTTCGGAATTGAACTCGTTCTAAAGTATGCAAAATCTTCCTTTTATGGGATGGTCAAGCACCTACTGTGGAGACAATGTTCAGCACCATCCTGTTGAGAACACACTGTGTAGCCTTTACCGTAGTTATTTGTCAATGAGTATGTGGTGTTTCAATATATTAATGGTTTATGGGTTATTTTAATTTGGCTTCTATTTTGGGGGGTTTCCCCATCTCATCCCTTTAACCTTCAGTTTGTTTGTTTTTTTAAAGATGTTTTAACCATTTTCTCTTTCTCTCCTGGTGCATCTGAAATACAGTGTATGCACAATGAAAGGCTATACTAATTACCATTACCCAACATAGCTTCAGACATCAGCACTACCTGAGTATGTAGCATTCATTACACCAAGCAACTGACTGAAGTCCAGAGAGAGGTGGCTTGTGGGTTTTGTTTGTTTGTTTGTTTGTTTTGACTTTTTTTCAAATCTTTTCTTCAATTTAATGGTACATACCTTGTTTTTCCATAAACATCAAACCAGAGTTGATTACATAACAAGAGAAACTAGCAAGGTTGCTAGTTGTCAGTCCTGTCCAGTGTTTGTAAGGACTGAGTGAGGGTGCCATTTCATAGTGTTGACTGATTCAGCACCTGATTGATTTGATCGATCTCACCTATTGCATTATGTTAGCAGAGCTGCCCTAATGGTTGCAGTGAATAGAATTAGTCTGCCTCAGCAGTTTGGAAACTGGTTGATCTTAAAACAAGTAATAAGATAGGCTGTCCACCCAACACAGGTTAAATGTAACCACTTGTAAGGATATGGTTTAAAAAGGAAAGGGAAGTAAAATATATGACATTGCAGAAAAGATAACTTACAGTATATGCATCAACAGTGACTTACAGTAGAGTCATCAGAAGTTCAAATGCAGATCACTGCAGGGTAAGTTATTACATCAGTGATTTTTCTTACATACATATCCTTGATTATTTTTTCCTTCTCACTATGCGTAACCCAATCTGAAAGAAGAAGCTGTAGAGGGAAAGGCAAGAAAGTAATGCTATACAAACAGCTTTTCATATAAGCTTAGATAGTAATTGGATAAATGACACTGAAAGACAAGGCCGTTTTATATGTTTTGCTTATATGGGTTTCTTTTGTAAAATGAATAACAATGAATGAATAATAATGAATAAAAGGTATGGTGCTGCTGTATAGATTCTCTCTATAATCTGGAAAGCTTGATTACTTTTTATTACTATTTTGGGGGGGGGGAGGAAAAAAGAGGAGGAAACACCAATGGTACATAAGAACTTGGTATGAAGACGCTCTGAATAGGACAGTGTATACATACTTCTCCAAAGTGATATATGAAGACTTTTTTCTTTGCATAAAAGCATTATGCATATAAATATATAAATATATTTTATTATGTACAGAAATGGATCATTATGCATGGATGTTAGGAAAACAAACTAGCATTTTAACCCAAAGTTTCAGTGCATGAGTTCCCACTGACACATCTACCATGCAATGTGGAGTGACTCCCTTTCGCCACCACCACACATGCACGCATACACACACACAAACTCACACACACACATTTGTGGGCCCCATCTTGCTCCTTACTTTCCAGTTCCCTGAAGTAATATTGGTGAAATAACAGCTCCTAGTGTGATGGAAAATTTGTTTTGTATTGTAACCTCATGCTTGTGCTGTTCTATTTTATAGATGAACCTGTTGATTTCATCCTGCCCTTTACTGAATATGTAAACTCTGTGCAGTTGTGATTATAGTAGACCCATAGCATATCAAGCAGCTAAGAGTTTATCATTTTCATTAAATGAAACAACATTTTTTTAAATTAAGGTGGTCTATTTATCAATGGCAGGGACTAGTTTATTGTTTTTTTCTTTATCATCAGAATTAGTTGATGATTCACATTACTGATCTTCCCATTTGAGGTGATATTTCGGGTAACCAGCTACCCAGTACGATATGGTGTACAGCAGTCATCTGTTTTAGGGGTCAGTTCACTTACAAGAGTCCAGATGCAGGCACCTTTTACCAAAGTTAGTAAAGAGCTTTATTGCAAGCCTTCACTGTACTCGGTGTGTATAACAGTATCTGTCAGGTTTTTGGTACATCATTAAATGTGAATTAAACTGAGGGTGTTTTTCTTTCTTTGTCTTCTGTGGTATTATGCTTGCTGATTGACAATTTTTAATCTTAAAGTCTCACTCTCTGATTAATAGGAGGGCTGTGCACAAGTACTCTGGTACAAAGCAGGCTTTGTGTGTATTTCTGGTGTGACATTTTGTGGAACTATCTATTGTCCACTGGAGGATGGAATACATCGTGGTGCAGTCGTAGAGCAAGCAGCAGATTCTCCCTTTCACACGGTCTAATTTAAGGCAGGTTACAAATATATAGGTAGTACAGGATTATGTTACTGTATCTACCTACCATATATATCTACTGACTGCACCTTTTTTATTTGGATTTCTTGGGAGAAATATTGGACCGACCTGTCTGCTGGTGTAACTTAAATGGGATAGTGCCAACAGAAAATTTGGCCCACTTTATAGACTAGAATAACAAAGCATATTGGGCCAAATTCTGCTCTCAAGTTACGATGATGTAAATCTGGACTAACCGATGGTAGTGAGTTACTACAGATGTACAGCACTGTCTTTCCCTTATGCACAACCCAAGCGCCCGGGCTGTGCGCTAGGGATCTTCTTGGGAGCAGGAACAAGGAATCCGCCACTCCATAGCTGGTACTCCAGCATCAGAGCAGGAATAGCCTTAGCACTGCCTTGCCTGTGTGTCCCCTCTGCAGCGGGGAACGGCCGTCAGATCCACTGACCCTGCCCCATCCCCAAATCCCTTCTGGGCAGTACATACTGGAGGTGAGCTCCGCGTCTTCAGATAGTCAACGCCTGCAGCCCCACACTGCAGCAGAACTGCACCTCTTCTTCCACTGCAGGCAGCACCTGCTTGTACCCATTTTGGAGGACAGGATTTATGCCAGTGACCAGGATTTGCCCAATCGTTCACAGTTGCACATAAGGAGATAAGGCCCAATGCTGCAGTCTTTACTCAGATGAAATCTCCCATTAAATGGGCTTGCCTGTATAAGGATTGCAGGATCGGGTTGTTAGAGTCCTTTCTTAATACCAGCAAAGTTCTGTTTTGACGTTATGACTACGGCGACAAAGACGAGTAATTTTATTTTTTCTTGGTACGGAACTAATATGTCTAATGGAAGGGAAAGACTGCTTGTTTGAACATACTGGGCCAGACTTTGTTACTGCAGTGTTAATGCAGTGTGACTCCCATGAGATCAGTGGAGTTACGTCAGATTTACAAAATATGGTTCACTTTTTTTAGAAAATGAAGAAAAACCAGTAGGTTCAGAGACATCCAATCAATGGCAGAGAAGTTATAGAACCTTCCAAACAAATCAAAATCAAAGCACAAGCAAATAAGGGGTCTGCTCCTGCTCCCACTGAAGTTAATGACAAAACTCTCATTGGCTTCCACAGTGCAGTTTTGGGCCCCTAGTGTTGGGGGGGAGAAAACCTGCACTACCTGAGGAGGGATGGACGAGAAAAACGTATAGATTTTTTCTATCTCTAATTTTGGTGGCCAACATTTTCAAACTTAAATATGTGAAGTTAAGCACCTCAGGCTGGAATTTTCAAGGGGCATAAGGGAGTTAGGTGCTCTGCTTTCATTGCTTTTCAGTGGGAGTAGGGTGCCTCACTCATTGAGACCCCTTGGAAAATCCCAGGCCAAAATGTACATTTAGGCACATAAAAAGTGCCCCGATTTTCAGAGGTGCAGAATAGTCACATCTCGTAGAGAATCCAGCGGCAGCCACGGGGACTGAGCACCTTTGCAAATCAGATCACTTATTTAGGTGCCAAAGTATGGATTCAGAAACCCGTTTTTGAAATTTTGGCCTTGGTTCCAGGAATATTTTTGAGCATTACCCCCCCCCACACACACACACACACACACACACAAAAGCATGCCCAACAGATAAAGTCTCAGAACATATGCACAGGTTATTGTTTAAATTTTGTGTTTTAAAACATTCTAAAAAGGGTAATGCTTATGCAGTTTAGACAAGTCTGCTTTTATTTAATTTTCTTTGTGAAATATCTTCTCATATAAATAGTTGGTTAATAGGCCACTACCTAACTCCAGGAATATTTGTACTACTGCTTTACAGAGCTAAATGTTAGGACATATATTGCTCTAAAATTATGTCATTGCTTGGCAATCAGTCTCCTATAATTGTTTTAGTACATAACGTACACTGGAAATGCCAGCACATGTGCAGGAGGACCAGATGCATTTAGTTAATATGAGGGGGGGAACGATTGTACGTTTTGGCTTCACATGTTAAACTTTTTTTTTTTAAAAAAAGTTGCATGATTGGAAAATAATATGTATACAGTATCTGTAAAACTGTTTTATCTGCTTTTGTTTCACCATGTCAAGCCATATAAATTGGAAAAAATATTAAATCCACAGCCTTTATGCATGGCTGTCTTTACATACTGAAGAATTGAACAGTATATACTTTTAATTTGGGCTTTCTTGCACTTTCATGTTGCATTCTTACTGAGGATTTTGTAAATTAGATTCTGCCCTGGATGAATATACTACCTTACTACACAAAGCTTAGAAACACGTTTGATTTTAAAATCTTCCCCTTTCCAAATGAAGTAGAGATGCAGTGCTTACTCCACTTGGTGTTAGTAGATATTGCCTTGTGTATTCCTTTTTAAATTGTAATCTAGTTTGTAAAAGAGATGGTGCCGCATGTAAATAAAGCATAATGGATCTCTACGTTGAATGTGCAGCTTTTTGTTGTTGTTATTCTATTTTATTACATTTCAGACATTTAAACCTAGAAATCTGGAGGGAAAAATAGCTTCTAAATGTATCTAAATACAGTTGGGTTTTGTTTGTTTGATGTGGTGTGTATGTGGGGGGCGGGGGGAGGCTGATTCAAAGCCCATTGAAGTCAATGAGAATGCTTATTTACATAGGCTTCATTGGATCGAGCTATACTGAAGAAATTATTTAGCCCAAGGGTGAGACACTAAGAAGGAGAGGGCATAGCATTCTCAGTAGCAATCCCTTGACTCAGGATTGTTCATTCCCACCAAAAAAGCAGCTAAACCCAAACCCAGGCACATTTATAAAGTCTCTTATTCCAGTTTTTCCACTAACTGCAGGCTCTGGGGTCCCTGGGTTCTAATACATATAAAACTAAATCCTGATTTCTGCACCAAAAAAAGTAGCCAAACTTGGTGTAGGAGTATTGCACAGAGATTAGGGAGAAATGGCAGCAAAGCTATTGTGTGGCCACCACTGCAGTCCTGAGGCTGCAGATCATGCTGCTCATATGCCCCCTCTCTCTCTACAAGGATCAGTATCAGGTGTATCAGCTAAACAACAAATCCACTGACCCTATCCTCTCTCCTCCCTGGCATGCCCTGCTTCCCACCCCCAACCTCCCTGATTGCCTTTCAGAAACAGATATCCCAAAGCCTACACCTCCCTCATCTCCTGCAGAGCAGAATTATATTGGTTCCACTGTGCCTTGAGCCCCATGTAGGCATGGAGGAAAGGTTAAGAAATACTCCATGGTGAGAAATATCAGGTATAACTAAAAGGTGTGAATATTGGATGTAGAAATCTGCTTGGGCCTAATTTTTAGGCCTTACCTGGACCAAAGCCCACCCAACCTGAGCCTGACCCCTCCTCCCCCACAACCCTGAGGCAGAACAGCCCCTCCTGCCCGTGGAGTCGGTGCAGCAGCAGCTGCATGCCCTGTTCCTGCCAGCCACCACCTCCTGCTGTGCTGTGTGCGCATTGTGGAATGAGAGACACTGCGACTCCTCGGCATACTCGCTCCACAGTGCACACAGCACAGTGAGGTGGCAGCGGCCAGCAGGAGCAGGGCACACAGCTGCCATCATGCCGACCCCATGGGCAGGAGGAGGAAAGCCGACCCAAGCCCAAAAGGGTCCAGTTGTTTTACCACCCAACATCGACACTTGTAGTCAGCTCCTGTCAGTTTTGGGTCGGGTGGCAGGGCTCTAATTAGACATGTATTCATAAAATATGTTGCAGAGTTATGGAGTTCTGAGGATCTGTATAGCCCAGTTGTGAATGTGCTAACTGCTGATAAAATCATAGGATCATAGAAATGTAGGGATGGAAGGGACTTCAAAAAGTCATCAAGTCCTGCCCCCTGCAGTGAGGAAGGCCCAAGTAGACCATCCCTGTCAGGTGTTTGTCCAACCTATTCTTAAAAACTGTGACTGATGGGGATTTCACAACCTCCCTTGATAACCTATTCCAGTGCTTAATTACCCTTATAGTTAGAAAGTTTTCCCTAATATCTAAACTTAATCTCCCTTCAGGCAGATTAAGCCCATTACTTCTTGTCCTAACTTCAGTGGACATGGAGAACAATTGACCACCATCCTCTTTATAAGAGCCCTTAACATATTTGAAGACTGTTATCAGGTTCCCCCAGCAGGCTTCTTTTCTCAAGACTAAACCTGCACTGTTTTTAATCTTTCCTGTTAGGTCAGGTTTGCTAAACCTTTCATAAATTTTGTTGCTCGCCTATGGACTTTCTCCAGTTTGTCCACATCTTTCCCAAGTGGGGTGCCCAGAATTGGATGCAGTACTCCAGCTGAGGCCTCACCAGTGCCAAATAGAGGGACAATTGCTTCCTGTGTTATAAATGCAACACTCATGTTGTTACATCCTAGAATATTTGCTTTTTTTGCAACTTCATCACATTGTTGGCTCAGATTTAATTTGTGATCCAGTATTTCACAGGTTTGGCAGTTGGGCCAAGTAATCCATCATCTGTGCAATCTCCCTTAAATAACTAATGAAATTGTTGCATTCAGATCATCTGTAGAGTAAGGGTGATCCTTTTCAGCAATACTACTACCTAGCTAGTTATTCCCCATTTTGTAACTGTGTGTTTGATTTTTCCTTCCTAAATGAAGTACTTTGCAATTTTCTTTAGTGAATTTCAGTTTGATGAATTAGACCAATTATTCAATTTGTCAGAGTTGTTTTGAATTCTAATCGGGCCCTCCAAAGTGCTTGCAACCCCTCTCAGC